CCCAAACAATCAAAATATAACCCATTTCACATAATCCCACTGATTTTAAGAAAATAACCATCAACACTACCTTTTCGAGGTCGGCGATCCACTAAAGCTTCAAGGTTGCAAGCAGCTATTCAGAAGACGTACCTAAAGGGAGGGGTTCGCGATTCCAAACAGAGAGCAAGAGACCGAACAGAGGGAGAAAAAGACATAACGAAGCTAGAGAGAGAAAGAGCTGCGCTATGAGAAAGAGAGCAAAGAGAGGGACAGAGAGTTGCGCTAGAGAGAGAGAGAGCCAAGAGAGACACATAGAGCTGCATTAGACAGAAATCAAAGAGAAAGAGAGAGAGCTGAGTGACCTAAGAGAGAATAAACTTTCTGAACTTGTGAAAATTCAGCAATAAGTGGACAATAATTTTATATTTATAGGTGATAGTTGTACAAAAATTGGGGAGGGGTGGTATTTTTAGTTACGATTATAAAATTGGTGGCATATAGGGCTATTTCCCTAGAATATTCTTATATATGTATATTTCAAGCGTATAGCCGCGCTATGGTTAGAATATTCTAATTTATTTCAAGAGTATAGGTGTGCGGCTATACTATTTAAATATTCGAATATATTGCAAGAGTATAGCCGCGCGGCTATACGATTTAAATATTCGAATATATTTAACTAGTATAGCCGCGGGGTGATACCTTTAGAATATTCTAATATATTTCAAGTATTCCGCTGCACGGCTATACTATTTAAATATTCGAATATATTTAACGAGTATAGCCGGTCAGCTGGACTATTAGAATATTCTAATACATTTCAAGAGTATAGCCGGTCGGCTATACTATTTAAATATTGGAATATATTTAACGAGTATATCCGTTTGGCTATACTGTTAAAATATTCTAATATACTTTTAAACCGTGTATTATTTAAAATTCAGAAGTGTATCATTTTTAGGAATAAATTTTTTGCATGACATTTTTGTTAAATTATTTTAGGGTTTAGGGCTAAAATACAACTTTCCATAAATTAGATTAATTTAGTCTTGGTTAGACTATTGCTAATAATAAATTGGTCAGGAATTTGGGCTTAAAGCCTGGCTGTAGCTTAATTGAAGCAGATAAGAGTGATCTCATGCATGTTTTGTTTGATTCCAGACCTAAGTCCATTTAAACACACCACAGATTTAAGTCTCAGATCGGATTGGTGAGCCAGTGCTCTCATGTCATTATTATATATAATTGACAGCCAAATTGAGATACAATATTGATCAAGGAAAGGAGTTACAGCAAATAGAATTGACAGCCAAATTGAGTTACAATATTGAGCAAGGAAAGGAAATGAAATACATTAATACGACATTCGTTTCAATCTGTCCCTTGCAAATACACACAGAACTGACATACTGATGCACTATAATCAACACATATATATAGGTGCATCGTTTAGAATGCATGAGACTGACACTCAGCGTCGTGAGAGGGCTGCAGCTGAGAGCAAGATTAAGAGTATAAAAACAACAACTCCTACAAAAGATCCAATTAAGGAGCCAGAGATGCGCTCGCAGAAGGAGTTGAATTGCTGGCAGATGGCAAACCAATTTGCCTTGGCATTTCCCTTGTGTGCCAAGTATACAATAGCTGCTGCTGCAGAGGCACCTGCCGTCAGAAGAGCCAACATTGCCTACACAACACAATCGTATAAGACAAGAGGAAGCATAATGGATAGCATGATGTTATAGTTGCAAAAAAAAAAAAAAAAAAATCTTAATTAGGTATTACCGTGTCGAAGAAGATCAAGATAATTCTGCTCCTTTTGGCGTTGCTTCGTACGATGTGGAAGATGGAAAGGGCTAGAGAAAACACCAGATATGCACACACGACGGAATTGGCAACCACGAAAAACCTGTTCTTAAAAGAAGCAGAAGTTTATTAGTTTATATATGTAGCAGAAAAGATATTCATGAACACAGAAAACTTGATGTTCCGGAACACATACGTGAATGTTGGAAGATCATCGTACTCGGCCCTGAACTGAAGGAACTGAGTGAAGAAGGGAAGCCTTTCCCTAGTGGTTCCCATGGCTATTGCACTTACTAAGGTACCAAGAAAAGCAATGATCCTGAGAATGAAGTCTAGTATGGATGCCCCTCTGTTCACCCCTCCAATTTTTGGGGTGCTTGAAGTGCTTTTGGACTCACCAAGCTCAATAGCTCCTCCTGCCTTCATGTTTCACTGTAAATTAAATTTAGTGACTGGTTAAACTCTGGTGTTTGAGAGATGGGCTTTGAAACTATGAGCTGGAAGCTAATTGTGCATGTGTTTATATGCAAGCAGAAAAGCTAGCACAGGGTGGTATTTTAGTAGCTTTTTGGTAGTCTTCATTGACTTGAAAAACCCATCAACTCTACGTTTGCATCAGGACCTTATCGCTTGAAAAACATCTTATCAGACGAAAAATTCATATAAAAAGAAAAAGCTTGTCCCTGCCATGAGTTTGGGTGGACTGAACACATGAATTGTGATGTGTAAAGACTACCTACTCGTACTTGCTCTATTAATCAAATATTTTAGACCACTTATGAGGTCACCACCACTTTCCAACCACATCAAATTTGGACCCGAATTGGGAAAGTTACTAAGCGACCAAATTGGAAACATATGGCATATGTCCCTGGTGAGCAGAGAGAAAATGGGGGAGCTTGTGAAATATGAATAATGGGGGCAGTTAGACATCTCTGGGGGTGCAAAGGGAAACTGAGTTGGTCAATGATATGGGGAAAAAAAGATCCACATATTACTTCACTTGTGTAATATCTGTAAAAACCCTAAATCCAAAATGAAAATCCGGCACAAATTAAGGGATCATTGCTCCTAGAAATCCTCGAGTCTCCAAGATTAGTAGTTATTTTTATCAATTTTTGTTTACAACCATGGCATAAGATTTATCATCATATCTAGGTATTTGGATCTAGAATGATCTTGATTCTTTTCCATTAGCACTTTTCCAAATTCCCCACCAGGTTGTTTAACAATGTTATCTGCGTTGGTTTTGTTACCGAAGAGTTGGTAAGCTTTTCTCATTTATATTATCCTTTAGCCACCAAAAGCTGTGCCTGATGCTGGAAGCGTGGACTTGCTTGCGAGCTCCAAGGTTGGTACATTGTTCCAGAGGCTTGACCGTTGGTGACGGTTCGCGATTCTGTCGTTTGGCCTCTTTCTGATCGTCACACGTTGCTCCTCTTTTAATTGTTCGTTTCATGCTTTCATCTCCTATGGTGGGAGCAAATCCGGCACAAATTAAGGGATCATTGCTCCTAGAAATCCTCGAGTCTCCAAGATTAGTAGTTATTTTTATTTACAACCATGGCATAAGATTTATCATCTTATCTAGGTATTTGGATCTAGAATGATCTTGATTCTTTTCCATTAGCACTTTTCCAAATTCCCCACCAGGTTGTTTAACAATGTTATCTGCGTTGGTTTTGTTACCGAAGAGTTGGTAAGCTTTTCTCATTTATATTATCCTTTAGCCACCAAAAGCTGTGCCTGATGCTGGAAGCGTGGACTTGCTTGCGAGCTCCAAGGTTGGTACATTGTTCCAGAGGCTTGACCGTTGGTGACGGTTCGCGATTCTGTCGTTTGGCCTCTTTCTGATCGTCACACGTTGCTCCTCTTTTAATTGTTCGTTTCATGCTTTCATCTCCTATGGTGGGAGCCCAAACTAAAATTCAAAGCAGAAACTATATATCATATTTGGGCTAAGGTTGGGCTTTAAGCCCAAATTCCTGACGAATCTGGTTTAAATTAATCTAATTTATGGATTAAGGGGACTTAAACTAGCCCAACCCACATCAAGCTACAAATTTTTAGGTTTTATTTTTCTTTCCACTGTTTATACTTTATTATAAGATGGGAAAAAGTCGATTAATTATTTCTAATTTGGCACCAATACAAAGCAATATACAAGGCTATAAAAAGGCCACACTTATTCCAAATACAAAAGAGTTCTTTCTCCCGTTGAACTGGTGTAATTAAAAACTAGAAAATTTGGCATAATTCTAATTATGTTGAGAGATATTCGGTGTAATCCACGCAGAAATTGTTGTTGATCCAAATTCTATGGATTTGTAAAACCAATAAGTTATTGATTTGTAGGACATTAATTATCATATTTGATTTGAATTTAATTGCAAATCTATTTATTGAATTTTGAAAATTATGAGAGATATTCGGTGTAATCCACGCAGAAATTGTTGTTGATCCAAATTCTATGGATTTGTAAAACCAATAAGTTATTGATCTGTAGGAAATTAATTATCATATTTGATTTGAATTTAATTGCAAATCTATTTATTGAATTTTGAAAATTTCCCAAGGTGTACCACCTCAAAATTTATAATAAGAGTTCATAGAAACTTCATATTCTGTAAATTCTTAAAAAATTATGGACATATTATTTGCTTAATTGGTGAGGGTGGATTGCAATTATAAAGGGAGAGTCCTTACATGTTGGTGAAAATGGACCTATATATGAGAAGCCCAATTAAAAACCCTATATGCATGTGTATATCGATTTGTGTTCTTTTACTCAAGTTGTGTTTTGTGAGACGCCATGAGAGTTGGTAATATCAAAGGAAGGTATGGTGGAAAGTCATCCCTTGCAGCAATACTGAACCATCATCATACTTTGAATCCGATATTCGATGATCTCCCGGATGTTGTAGTGGTGGAGATTCTTTGTCGACTCCGTTGCTATAAGTTGGTTTATCAATGCAAGTGCGTGTCAAAGCGTTGGTGCACTCTCATATCGGATCCGTATTTCATTGGCCGCTTTGTATCTCTACAAAGAGAATATCATCATCAGCAAACGCCAATCATTCTAATAAACAAAAAGAGAGATTTGCTCAATAGAATGTCCGATCCCCTGAAGCCTTTTTTCAGAAGATTCAAGAAGTTTCTTGGCTCTTTGATCCAACAAGAGCCGGAGGTGGCAGGTACGTATAATGACCTACTTTTGTGTTACACAGGCGAGTATTATGAACGTAATTACTACATCTGCAATCCATACACCCAACAATGGATTGCTCTTCCGCCCGCACCTCCATGTCACGAACAGACAGTACCTTTGCCAGAGGGGTTTATGTGCGATCTTCCCTTGTATAATAAGTATACAAATGATGATGACCCGAAAGGGCATAATAGTAATAATATTGCAGAGCTTAATACCAATTACAGGTGCAAGGTTGTGAGATTAATTTGTCCCTGTTATGGGAAAGAATACAGCAAATTCAAAGTGCAGATCTTCTCCTCAGAGACTGGTCAATGGAGAGAGACAATTGTGTCATCCCCACAAGATATTATGCTCGGTACTGTCAAATTTCATATTTGCTTTGCTAATGCTTACAACAGAATGTTGTATTGGAAGGGTGGTGGACACTTTCTCCTGGAGTTGGATCCCTTCATAATCAACAATGGTGATTATAAATGTCGTCTCATTAATCTGAGGGATCATCATTTTGACGGCAACATAATACTTTCTTGCCTGGGTGTGTATGGAGGGCGTCTCAAGATGTTTGACTTTGAATTGGCTACCAATACTTTTTTAGTTTGGGACGTGAATGTGAATAAAGAAGAGTATCATGGAGGATTTGAAAAGTTGTGCTTGGAGAACAAGACAAGTTATATACTGGAGGAAGACATGGTTCGGAAGAGACGAGACGTTCTAGCTTCTGAATGTATGGCTTTGGACCCGAACAACGAGGAAATTATCTATCTAGTTATAGATTATGAGATTGTCATGTTCAACATTCGTACAAGAATCCAGTCGAAACTGGATAAAAAGTTTACTATTGATTATGGTTTGAACTGCGGGTTATTCCAAGTTGTGATACCATGGTGGCCGACACCCGTTCCTAGACTACCACAACATGCTCATGCTCATGCTCAGTCCGCTAAAAGCCAAAGCCAGTGGGAGGAAGAAATGAGGAAGGTAATGTAGTCGGCGCCAAGCGCACAACTGCAGTCGTCAAGCGAGGGTTGTTGAGGAGCTGCGCCTGATGAGGAGGATGTTAAGTTGCATGTAGCCAAAAAGTCGAGGGCACATTGTTAGTGCCTGTTTACATTACTAATACCTTGATGATATCTTGTTTGGTACAAACACAATATTGGCCTGGTTTTTTTATAAATTGAAACTGGTAGTTTCATCTTTAATTCTCTTTACATTAACTCAGTTCTGTTTGCTTAATTTGTTCCAAAGTGCATTAGCTCTATGTTAAAATCAATCCATATTTAGTTTGCGCACATGATAGGATAGACTAAATTAGGCAAGTATGTCTGGCATTTCTCTCACATCAACCAAAAGATGCGCTTGATGCCTCCCAAAATTAAATCAGCTCTTGCTTATCTTTCTACTCCACCCATTTATTAGTGCTCATATATAGCTCTTGAGGCAAATTCACATTTTGGTACAGTAAACAAAAGCAGATAAGGATATTTCTCTCTCCGGCCTTTCCTTCATTGTTCAAAGGCTTTTTTGAAGCTCGAGCATCATCTACAAAGTAGAACCCAAAGGCAAAAAGAACAGCTTTTGAGTTTTGTTGAGAATTTGGGTTGAACCCCTTGCCATATTCTTACAGTCCTCCCTTTATAACCATGCGAAATATGAGAACTATGATAAGAGACCTAATCTTTTGATAAATAAAATGTCTTTTACCAGAAACCATCGTTGCATTTATAGCTACAGGTATGTACAACTATTTTTAGATTTGACAACCTCACTCATAGACGCTACGCTACCTTATAAGAGACTTGAGATTCCATTGTAGACTATAGTTATAAACCATCAAAGCATCTAAAGATGGTGGCTTACTAAAGTCACAAGCCACTTAGTGGATAAAAACATCAACAACTAACCACGAGTCGTTAGAGAAAGAATGAATGAATGATTACTGTGTTAACCCAGTTTGGTCTTCGAATCCTTTTGCCGAGAAAATCCACTTGAAGAAAGAAGCCTTGCCAGGAAACCCCGGCTGCTGTTTGCATTGTCCTTGTCACTAGAATTGCTTAGATTGCTTATGAGAGACCAGTGTGTCTCAAAGTCTGGCTCAAAACCACTCTGTTGCATTGCTTGCATGAGCTCTGATGTCTTCCTGAGATTCTTTTCTAAGCGATACCTATTAATTACAGAAGAATATATCTCCCTGCTCACTGTTTCACCTACGCAAACCATAGAAAGCAAAAGCCTTTCTGCTTCTGCA